CAGCCAGCCAACATTGTTTGGCGGCCTGGGCTGGATTTGAACCCGCCACCTTAGGTGTATGTGGCTGGTGCCTTAGCCATTTGAGCCACAGGCGCTGAGCCTCCTGGCTAATTTTTAAGAAAACTGTCTGTAGAGACAGAGTCTTATTGCCCTAGCTGGTCTCAAAGTCCTGCGCTTAAACAATCCTCTCACCTTGGCCTCCCAAAGTGCTGGGATTACAGGTGTGAGCCGGAACACCCAAGTGAGTTTTCATACATGACTCTCGAGCACACTTGTGCATATGACAAATTTGTTTTGCTTTTCTCTCGTTAATTTCTCTTTTGTTGTAGAGGTGTACATTGGCCATGACCCTTTATGATAAAAAGGAAAAGGATCACTTTCTTTCTGTCCCACAATCGCAAACTGGATAGTGAAATCTATTCACTCCCTGGTCACCACCCCAGCCCAAGTCTTTATTAGCCTACCTTTGTCAAATATCTAATCTCTTTCTACCAATAAGAATGATGCTTTAAAATGGAAAATATGCCATGACATAGGGAATAGTTTCTGCTGAAACCTCAAATCTGAATCTAATAATGCCTCCTCTAAATCTAATAGTCAGGTTACAAAAAAATACAGAAAAGGGAGCAACTCAGAGATATCATGGAAATAATAAAATCATGAGAAATTCAGGAAAAATGACACAGCCTTGAAAAAGAAAAAATGTATAGGGAAACCACATATCAAAAGAGGCTTAAGATGGCAAGGCACAACTGTAAGAGGGACTTTACCTAACAAATGCAATCAGTGAAACCTGGTTTCTTATACCCTCAATGAATCCCCAACAATAAATTTAAAAAAACAAACAAACAGGGTACATGTAAAATTTACTAGGTGTAGAATATAAATGCCTTAACACAATAACTAAGAAAATGCTGTGAAGGCGATCGTGACCAGTTTGATGAAAGCATTTCAGATTGTGTGTAAAATGAGCACGTCGTACCCCATGTTTGCATTAATGTACACAGCTATGATTTACAGTTTTTGGCCGGGGCTAGGTTTGAACCCACCACCTCCGGTATATGGGGCCAGTGCCGTACTCCTTTGAGCCACAGACGCTGCCCCACAGCTATGATTTAATTAAAAAAAAAAGAGTCTTAAGATTCATATCTATCTATCAGCTACAACAAGTGGGCCTTGTTTGGACCCAGTTTGAACAAAATAACTCAATCTTTTTTTTTTTTGTAGAGACTGTTTCACTTTATCGCCCTCGTAGAGTGTTGTGGCGTCACAGCTCACAGGAAGCTCCAGCTCCTGGGCTTAGGTGAATGTCTTGCCTCAGCCTCCCAAGTAGCTGAGACTACAGGCACCCACCACAACACCGGGCTATTTTTTTGTTGTAGTTTGGCTAGGGCAGGGTTTGAACCTGCCACCCTCAGTACATGTGGCCGGCGCCCTACTCACTGAGCCACAGGCGCGCCCTATTATTAATATTTCTTACATGGATGAATAGATTCATGAAGAAGAGAGTGAAAGCCAAAACCATCTACCCAAACCCAGCTGGAATGGTGAAGAACCAAAGCCACCCTTACTGCCTATGTAACATGGCTATGCCTGAACTCTGCCTTCATTAGCAGTTCTTTACTCTTCTGGACTGACCCGCCCAGGCAAATGGTTTGAACATCAACAGACTGTTTGTCTGCTGGGATTCTTCCAAATTCCCCTACCTGGCTGTTTGCACCAATTGTGGACTATGGTTCTTACCTAATATTAATCAAGACCTTTAACTGAAAGACCTGCCTTAAACCAAACTTCTAATCCTCAATAAATTCTGATCTGACCTTCCTCTCTCTGGGATACTGCCAAAGCACTGTCAAGTAGTATTCTCCTTTACTTTAGCAATGAGCTCAGCTTTGTCTGATGAATAGCTTGTGCTGGTTGGTTATACAGACAGTGCTATGCATTTTAAGAAAGGAAATAAAAACATTAAATTTGTAATACTCAAGTCCCATTTGACTTCAGTAATTACAAGAGGTGCTCAATGTGATCTGTATTCATCTTTTGTTATCAGTATATATTGACTGTTACAATTTTTTTTTTTTAAAGACAGTCTCACTCTGTTGCCCTGGGTAGAGTGCCATGATGTCATCATAGCTCACAGCAACCTCAAACTGGGGCTCAAGTGATCCTACTGCCTCAGCTTCCCGAGTAGCTGGGACTCCAGATGCCCACTACAATGCCCGGCTATTTTTTTGTTGCAGTTGTCATTGTTGTTTAGCTGGGCTGGGCTGGATTTGAACCCGCCAGCCTTGATACATGTGGCCAGCATGGTAACCACTGTGCTACGGGCGCAGAGCCCATAATTTTAATTTTTAAAAATGTTGCATCAGGTTCAGTGCCTATGGCTTAAGCAGCTAAAGTACCAGCCACATACATCTGAGCTGGCGGGTTTGAATCCAGCCTGGGCCCGCGAAAACAACAATGATGGCTGCAACCAAAAAATAGCTGGGTGTTGTGGCCGGTGCCTGTAGTCCCAGCTACTTGGGGGGCAGAGGCAGGAGAATCGCTTGAGCTCAGGAATTGGAAGTAGTTGTTGTGAGCTGTGATGTCACAGCAATCTACCCAGGAGGACAGCTTGAGGCTCTTGTCTCAAAAAAAAATGTTGCATCAGCCAGGCTCAGTGGCTGACTCCCACAATCCCAGCACTTTGAGAGAAAGAGGCGAGAAGATCCCCTGAGGCTAGCAGTTCAAAACCATGCTTAGGTAACCTATCAAGGCCACATCTTTACAAAAAATTTCAGGCTGGGCGCTGTGGCTCATGCTTGTAATCACAGCACTTGGGAGGCTGAGGTGGGTGGATTGCCTAAACTCACAAGTTTGAGACCGGCCCCATCAAGAGTGAGACCTTGTTTCTAAAAAACAGCCACGTGTTGTGGCAGATGCCTGTAGTCCCAGCTACTTGAGAGGCTGAGGCAAAAGGATTGCTTGAGCCCAAGAGTTTGAGGTTGCTGTAAATTAAGATGCCACAGCACTCTACAGAGGGTGACCAAGTGAGACTGACTTTTTTTTCAAAAATTAGGCAGGCACCTGTAGGGAAGGCTGGGGCCAGGGGATTTCTTATGCCAAAGAGTTTGAGATTACAGCTACTGTGTTTCCCCCAAAATAAGACACTGTCTTATATTTATGTTTTCTCAAGACACACTAGGGCTCATTTTCAGGGGATGTCTTCCTCTCTGCACCAAAATGCATACGCTGCATAGCCATGCCCATCACTAGGTCTTATTATTGGGGTAGGGCTTATATTTAACAAATGCATAGAAATCCTGCTAGGGCTTATTTTTGGGGTAGGTCTTATTTTCAGGAAACACAGTATGAACATGTCACTACATTCTAGCCTTGAGGACAGAGAGAACAAGACCTGTCTCTGAAAAACCCCCTCCCCCCCAACCTGTCATCCTAGCACTCTAGGAGGCTGAGGCAGGTTAGGTTAACTGGAGACTGAGATCTCATCTCTAAAAATAGTTTGGTGTTGTGGCAGATGCCTGTAGTCCCAGCTACTAGAGAGGCTGAGGCAAGAGAATGCCTTGAGCCCAGGTTGCTGTGAGCTATGATGCCACAGCACTCTACTGAGGGTGAGAAGTAAAAAAATAAATAAATAAAAAGTATTGCATTAATGCAAATCTTGAGTATTTTTTTGAGTCCTTAAATTGTGTGTCTGAGAAGAATGCCTCTCATCTTACTCTATGTCCAGCAGTGTTAACAAAAGAAACAAGGTATGTCTGAAATTACAAAGGCAAATTTAGGAGACTTTAAAGGGATGTTGCAGCGTGTGCTGTATCGTGCTAATCATGACATGAAATTAAAGGGTAACTAAATGAACAAATCAAGAAACAGCAAATCAAGCATTTTACTTAGCTATTTCTTAGGCATTAGAACTAAATACAGGCTCGGCGCCTATAGCTCAACCGGCTAAGGCGCCAGCCACGTACACCTAAGGTGGAGGGTTCAAATCCCCAGCCCAGACCCGCCAAACAACAATGACGGCTGCAACCAAAAAATAGCCGGGCGTTGTGGCGGGCG